CGCATCAGAGAAGCCAGGCAAAGGGCGAGAATGGAGGTCGTTTGGGGTCCACCCCAGTCCTTGAGGCGGTGCCAGTCGGCGTTCGCCCAGCATCGAAAAGGTGTCTTAAATAGACGGGCCAGCTGCTGGTACTCTGACTTACGGAGATGAGGGGGAATGATCATGAACTGGGCGACGTAAGATAAGACCGTGACAGCTCGACGACGATATAACAGGGCGGTGACCTCGGTCGCAGAGCCACCAGCAGCTATCATGGCGCAGCGAGACTGGTACTTACTGAGCGGGGCGTGCCACGAGTCCCATTCGACATCAGGTCCAAGAAACATCCCAAGGTACTTGAGTTTGCCCGAGATTCCCATGGAGGTCCATTCCCGAAGGTGAGAGTTAAGCCAGAGGCGATACTTGCGGGTGACCACGGGGGAAGCCGAACCGATAAGCGGGACAATGTGGCACTTCGGGATCTTGAGCTTCAGATGCGCCAGCCTCTGAGCCTTCCGAAAAACTGCCGAGATCTCGCTCAAGGCGGAGATGCGCTTCAGCGCCATGCCGATGTCGTCGGCACACGCTCTCGTATGGCCACGGCCCGCGCCGTCCACCACGGAGCGGAAGTCTTGGAGGAAAGGATCGAGGGCGAGGCTGAAGAGAAGTCCAGAGGCCGGGCAGCCCTGCACTATACCAGCGGTAATGTGGTACATAAAGCTAGTGACCCCACCGATGTTTCCCCAACACGTGACGTTATCGTAGATAATCTGGTAGAACCACCGAAGAGGAGGAGGGAGAGCGAGGGCGTCGAGCACCAGCATCAGCCATTTCTGACACAAGCTCGGGAAGGCCTGGCCGAAGTCAAAACCTATAAGCAGCGGAAGCGACGCCTTGGGACCCATAGAGTAGACCCTCGCGTGAGTGTCTAGCTCCACGATGTTCGAACAGAAGTTTCGGCCCGAGACAAAGCCACGTTGGTTCGAGTCGAGTCCAGCGGGGACGCGACGAGAGAGCTCCCAACAACAAACCCCAGTCAGAATCTTGCAGTCAGTGTTTTTGAGGCCGAGAGGCCGAGTATCCCCAACGTCCCGAAAAATGCCGTCTTGATCGCCAGTTTCCGTGCCCTTGGGGATGTAAACTCCCAGCAGCTCGTTAAAGTTGAAGGAGAGCGAGAAGCCGCTCAGGATCCACTGAAGTCCTTCAAACAGCATGGAAGAGCCTAGCGGAGCGTGCTGCCACGCAGCATACCTGAGACGGTCGGGCCCGGGGCCAGAGTCGGACTGCCTCCGAAGGTAGCTTTTCAGGAAGGCCAAGGTGGGGGGGGGGAGATCGTGGCACGAAACTTTGGGGGCGAACTCCTGAAGGCACGCCTTCGCGGGCTCTTCTTCGAAAGGTTTGCCAGAGAAGACAGGGGCCCAATGAGCAGACAGCGCTTCAAGGACGCGGGAGGGTTCCTGCAAAATTTGGCCCTGGACCCGAACCCCGGCCAGAGAAACACGTTTGTCAAACGGGGGCCATAACTTAGCGGCCTTTTTCATTTTCTCCATCCTTCCTCGAAGCCGAGCCTGGCGCTGCTCGCTGCCAGCAGCAGCAAGGCTTGCTTGCACAAGTTGTCGCCGACGCTGTGAAACTTCAGCGTGCAGCGTGTCAGAGAGCGATGCAAAGTCCAGCGGTGAGACCAGATCCACCGTGCTCGCAGCTTCGTCGTAAACTAGATGTTCACGAGCGAGAGGGTGGGACAGGCAGACACGTTCGGCGAGACGCACGTCTTGTCGAAAGACAGCGCGGGCACACGTGCGAAGGACGATGAATTTGGCATCGAGCGACTGCGGCTTGTGTATGATGAGCGAGTTTCGGGCATGTCGTGCTGCTTCTACCATGAGTTTCTTATAATATGCATGTCTGAGAGGTACACTGAGATGTTCGTATTCAGCAGCAGCGAGCGCACGACGCATATACCATGCGAATTCGGCAGAACGAAAGATCTCACGCGGGATAGGCCGAGCGTCTTCAGGCGGCCGCTGGCGAGCAACAAGGGTCGCACAGACTGCAGCATGGTCAGAGATGTGTGTTCGCTAGAAGCTGTTCAGGGATCCCCACAACCTCCCCACTGGTAACCATCTGCGACAACACCCACCCAGGGGCAGAGCAGAACAACCGATCGATATAGGATAAATGCTGAATCCCCGCATGCTAATGAGTAGGTGCCTCCAGCTGAAACTCGACCATTTTACGCAGAACTTCGCGCCACTCGGGAGCCCCTGGAACCAGCGGCGGCAGCGGTGCATTGAAAAGCTCATCGCTCGGGTTGAGCGGGACAGGCGGCTGCAGCCCGAAGTTAAAGTCCCCGACAACGATGACCAGCTTATTCTGTGGGTCTCGGCTAGCGTCCATAAGATCGTTGGCAATACACTGACATACATGACGACGTTGAACACGAGAGATACTGTGATTGTGAACGTTGTAGTGAGATATCCATGTCGAACCATCACGGGATGAGAAACGAGCGTGTGAAACTCGACCAGGAACCAGAGAGAGAGAAGAGACAAGAGGGGACGCGCTGCCGAACCTCCGCTCCCGTTCGCTGCTGGGGCTAAGCTTCGGATAGAAAGTGACCACGCCACCCGCAGGGCGCTGCCTAGAAATACCATCATCGTCTGGCGCTGCAGTGAGAAAAGAGGAGGAGCAGGAGAAAGGGAGATTAGCGTGATGCAAGAAATCTTGCACCTCTGCAATCGATCCGTGGACTTCTTGCACGGCCACGATTGCCCCAGGGCGGAGAAGGCGCTTTAAATAGCGGAATTTTGCAGTGCGCACGAGGGTCTGATGGTGCAGGAGAGCATTCGAATTCCAAGAGCCAATCCTCAGCGGCGTCTCGGAAGATCCGCTCCAAAGAGCGAAGAACGTGCTAAAGAGACCACTGGGTCTGACTGTCTCCCTGGATGGCGACAGCCAGCGGCTCCTCGATTGCTTCGCGGGAGATATTCTCGAGAGCCAGATTCGCTTCTGCCCAGCGGATCCGCGGCGCATCATCAGCCTGGGGAGTGATCTCCACGAGCTGGCGCCAATTCGTGGAAATGGTGCCGCGCAGCTTGTCCACAAAAAACTTCTTGTCCTGAAAACGGTTTTCGAAGAACCTCTTGGCGGCTTTGAGCGCCACCTCACGCTTGACCTGGCACTGGTTTTTGTCCGATCCGACAAAGATTTTAGAGCGAGAGCCTGAGATCGCAGGAGCGAAAAAGCGCATCCACTCCTCTCCAGGACGCTGCGGGCGCAAAAGGCTGAGGGCATGCTGTACACGGCGTGAGGCGAACTGAGAACTACCCTTGAACTTGATCGTGAACCTCTTGTCCGACGGCTCCCCCTGGAGCTCCCATTCGGACGACTCGATGTTGAGACGCTCCAGCCACGGTAGAAGGGCTCCATGAACTTGCTGCCTCGCGGTCTGCTCCTTGCAGCGGACCACGATGATGGACACGTCGATGGCACGGTTGAACGCCGAGTCCAGTGAGAGCTTCGGGAAGGTCGTTGGCAACTCACTGGGGGTCTCCTTGACCACGCTGAGCTCACGTTTGAGGAGCTTGACTTCTTCATGAAGAACTTGGAGCTGCTTGGTGTGGCCTCGTTGAACCACTTCCACACCGTTGAGCCGTTGTTCGACCTGCGATGCCATCGCCGAGCATGTGGACTGCACTCTGGTGGCCAACCCTTGGAGACTGGAATTGAGAGCGGACGTCGTGTTCGTGACCTGCTCGAGGAGCTCCGCACGCAGGGCTTCGATGGAGTCTTGGAGGTTGGCGGCATGGACGATCTCGAAGTCTGCATCCCCAGCGGGTTGACGGCCGGCGCGACGCTTGTTGATGCCGCTCTGCACACCTTGGCTGCCGCCGCCCAGCTCAGCACCAGGAGGGGCAGCACCACGGACAGGAGTAGCGACTTGTGAAGACCCACCAACACCCACCTGCGACGGCGGGAAGGTCGGAATGTCGTCGAGGTCGATGTCGATGTCGGCAACCATCTGCATCTGACTCGGGATGGTGTGGGCGCCATCGCCCATGGTTCGAAGAAAGCACTGGTGGGGCGAAAGACGGAAGCACTGGGAGGTGTGCCGCGGGCAAGCCCCAAGCGATTCGAGAGATCGCTACGGATGGGTCCAAAGCTAATCGCAACACCTCGGTTCCCCGAACCTTCGTTACGTTTAGCCTTGAGCCAAAATGGCTTGAGCCAAAATGGCTACGGTCTCCCTCCTCCTCCTCCTCCTCCTCCTCCCTCTTCCACGACCCTTCCTCCTTCTTCCACGACCCCCCCTCTTCCACGACCCCTCCTTCCTCCTCTTCTTTCACGTCGATCACTGGTCGGCCTCGTCGAGTCCCAAAATTCCGCGCGGCGAGCCCGGATCCCCAGGAGGAGACCTCACCACACGGCGTGGCCACCACACCGTCTGGAGGCCCCCGCTTCTGGGCCTCGTCGAGTCCCGAAACCGCGCGGCGACCCCGGGTCCCCACCGACTCACCACGCGGCGTGGTCACCACACCGTCTGGAGGCCTCCGCTTCTGGGGGGACGACAAATCATACAAACATACCAAACTCGGAGGCCCTCGCGGATTTCTCGGATCGGCGCCGGAACCCCCTCCCAGGCGCGCGGAGCGCGCCAGGGGCGGCGCCGAAGGCGCCGCCAGGGGGCCCCAGCGCCGATCCAAGAAATCCGCGCGGACCTCCGAGTTTTTATGCTTATGCTATTGTTCGTTCCCCTGAGCAGGGACCGCCCGTCCCGGCACTCTTATAGGCCTACCACGCAATGTTCTTAGAACCCAGAAGTGTTCTAGGAGCACAAGCAGTGTTCTGAGAACATCTATGCTCGCACCACAAGAGGCTCTTAGAGCACTCTTTGGTGGGCCTCTAGGCGAGCCAAGACGCTTCGCCATTGCTTGGCCCCCTCTTCTCGGCCCGTGCGGCCGTCTGCCCTGCGCGCCCGCCCGGGATGTTGGTCTCCGCGGGCTGGATGCTCGCCCGCTGCGTCAGCGCGAAGGCCCGCACGCGCGCCGCCGTGCGCTGGAGGAGGCCCTGCGCGCAGCAGACAAGGGAAGAGCTAGGAAGAGCGGGGGAAGAAGGAGGAGCGGCGGAGAAGGGAGGAGGAGGAGGAGGAGGAGGAGGAGCAACTGGGGAGAAGGGAGGGGGAGGAGGAGGAGGAGGAGGAGCAGGAGGAGGAGCAGGAGGAGCAGCTGGGCAGAAGGGAGGAATAGGAGGAGGAGGAGGAGGAGGAGGAGGAGGAGGAGGCACGCCCGTCCCAAGGCCCCTCCGCACAGGCCCAGGCAAGACTCGGTCCTCCCTGCGGGACGGTTCCCCATTGGAGGACGAGCGCCCGCGGTGGTCCTCCGGAAGCGCAGGCGAGAGCACCGGCGTTCTGACTGAGACGCTACCGCCTCGTACGTCTGGCCGACAAGGACGCAGACGATTTAGGACACAAAGCCCGAGGAAGTGTCCAGTGATAGCCTCTTCTTCGAGATGCCCCGCGCTCAAAAATTCGTGCATGCGTGCTCCAAGTATCAAGAAGTCGGGTCTGAAGACCTACGGGCGTCTTGAGCGGCAACCCAAGTTTAAAAAGGACCTGCCATCTATCCGCGCAATTTCTGCATGATTTCAGATTGCGGAACATATCTCCAAAACGAAAACGAACTCCAAATCATATTGATTTGAAAAGGGTGCGCCCTCCATCCGTGTAACAGCTGGAAGCTTTCAACATAAATGTGCAGGGCGCTAAGGCCAGAGACAGCATTTGAAAAGGAGCCGACCTCCACCCGGGTGGCGAATAGAAGGTTTTAACACGATTGCGCGTGGCGCTACGGCGAGAGCCAAATCATGAGAATGACCCCCCCCCGCTATCGGGAAATTGTTGGACGTAGCAGCCTTCGGGGTCGCAGGAGGGGAGGAGGCCTCAGGCGGAACGCCTTGAACGCCACATCGCCACGCCTAGTGGCCAGACGAAAAGGAAGTGTCCACTAGGGACACAGGGTGCGGAGGAGGGCGGAGGAGGTCAAAGGATGGAGCAGGGCGGACGAGGTGCGCCCGTCAACAGGATCCGTGCAGCTAGGCTGCCAGGCCGCGCCCCGGTGCGAAGTGCCAAAGTCGTAGAAGACGAGGAGGGCGGAGAAGCAGGGAGGAGAAGGAGAGGAGGAGAGGAGGAGGACCAGTGCAAACCCAAGACGCACCAACGATGTTGCAATAAACCTTCCCTTCAACATCCCTCTTCATATGTCCCTGCATGCATTCAAGTGCGGAGAACGCTCCATCGGAAGACAACCGTGTGAGACTCCCCAACCGTACACACACATCATTCCTGGGATTTCAGCACAACCAGACAATCCTACATCGTGCCAGAAAACCATTCCTGCAACTTCAACACTGCGAAACAACGTGTCGGTGTTGCGTCCTGGCAATCCTAAGCCGTGCAAGAAAGACATTCCTGGGACTACAACCATACGAACCCTCCAAACTGCTGGAGAAACTCAAGACGAATGCGCACGGTGCTGGGTAGGGCCACATTTTGAAAATGAGCCGCCCTGCATCCATGGAACTGTTGCAAGCTTTGACGCAGACCATTCACGGCGCTGAGGCGAGAGCGAGACTTCGAACGCGGCCCGCCTCCAGCCTTTCAAACCGATGCAAATGCGGGGCCAGGGAAAAAAAAAAAACATGCTGAAGACGGTTTGCCATCCCTTCGTGAGGCTGCTGTATTTGCTTTTTTTCAGGCAGTAACGTGCGCGGCGGTAACGCAAGCACCACATCATGTTGAACACCGGCCGCCATCAACCCGTGGACCTCCCGCAAGGTTTTTCGAGCTTCGGGAACATCAAATGGCAAGGGCGTCTCCAGCGAAGCGCCCGGCCCGCCCTGCCGTTACACCTCGGGGCGCGGCAGGGAGGAAATATCTGCACGGAGAAAGGACGGAGGAGGAAGAGGAAGAAGGAGGAGGCTGCGTTCAGGAGGAGCTCGGAGGCCACCCGCGCTCCGAGCGTTCGCTCCCGCGGCCAGCCCACGAGAAAGGCGGAGGAAGACAGGCGCTGGAGGATGAGGCGGCAGAGGAGGGACCTCCCCCACGCCCCCCCTCCATCAGTCCACTCCGCGAACCTCTCTCCGCTCCCGGCCACCAGCCCCTTCATAGTGGGCAGGACGCCCTCGAGGCTTTGGGGGTGGGCCGGCAGCGCCCCCGCCACCCCCCGCGCTGGCGCCGCGACACCTCGCCCTGCTGCTGCCCGGTCGCTGAAGCCGTGCGTGCACAGCGCACGGCGCGACACCTGGTCGTCTTCCAGTGGGGTGTCTCCTCCTGGCTCTGATTCCCAGTGGAAACGTCTGACGATGCCAGACGCTCCCGACAGCAGAAAACTGGCCCGGTCCCAGCGATCGGGCGTGGGGCGTAGGCGGGCCTGGCACGTGCGCCAGGCTCAGACGAAACCTGGCGCGCAGCCGGGGAGCACTCCACCGCTCGCCCCGAGGCGGGTCGGCACCGGCATGGTCGCGGGTCACCCCCTGGTGGCTCCACCCACCTCCCGGGGTGTACGCCGGGCAGCGCCATCGTGGCTGCAGAACAAAAAACATCGCCCTGCTGCTGCCGCTCCTCGCCCCCCCCTTCTCCTCCTCCCCCCCACTCCGCCGAGCTGTGAGATCCTCGTCTTGGGCGCCCCCCCCCACTCGCCCAGGCCTGCCCCCAAAGTCTTCCTCCTCCATGCCCGCTGCCCTTCCTCCCCCCCCCCATCGGGGGAGTCTAAGAGTGGGGGCGCAAATTATGGCCGGCGGCATGTGCCCGGTCCAGGGGGGGACCTGGGACGTAGTGACATAAGAAGTGGCGCCATGAAATCTGGAGAGATATCATGGCCCCCGCCATGAAATCTCCCCCTAGTCATCACCCCCCTCTTGGCCGCCCACGCCCCCGGTCTCACGCAGCCCGTCCCCTCACAGGCAGTCCCCCGTCCGCTCCCCGTTGCAACTGTCCTCCCTTCCTCCGCCACCTCTTCCTCTCCCTCCGCCTCCCCTCGACATTATCTTGCAGCTTCCTCCATGCCTTCTTCGTCCTCCTCCTCGTTCTCCTGCCCTGTCTCCTCCTCCTCCTCCTCCTCTCCTCCTCCTCTTCCTCCTCCTTCCCCTCCTGCTCTTTCCCCTCCCCCAATCCCCTCCACACCCCTGCTCTTCCTCCTGGTCCTGCTATTCCTGCTGCGGCTGGCCCTGCTGCTACCGACCCTGGTCGCCCTGCTGCTTGTATCCGCACCTCCTCCTCCTCTTCCTCCTGCTCCTTCATGGAGTGTCATCCCGCAGCGATGCTCCGCCCAACGCCCATGACAAGACCATCTGCTGAAGACGCCCGCGGCCTGCTGATCGGCAGGGAGGGCCAGGAACGCCTTCTCCAGCTGGTCCCGTGACAGCAGGATCTCGCTGGAACTCTCTGGGATCTCCTGGGGATGATGCGTGGACCTCATGTTTAAGTATGTTCAGTCTTCGTGTTGCAAACTGCTGCATGTTGTTGGGCCCAGGGAAGCCGCAGAAATCCAGGCACCGAACGCTCTCATGTTCAACATTGTATCTACTGGGATGAACACACACACACACACCTGCTTAACATACATGCATATGAATACATCTGTATGAAGGAATGCACAAGATAGATGTGTATCAACGATGTAAATATGAGATTAAGTTGACCTCGTGATCTCTGACATGGCGCTGTCATCCGCACCGCAGGATGCAGCTACGTACTTGCGCGCATGCCCGGATATCAATGTCTCTCGAGCGTGCGCCAATGGAAAACAATCATAAACTTGAGTATGCGCGTCGTGTAATTCGCAGCGCCCGGTGGCCGATGCTTCTAACTACGGCGCCATGCCGTGGCATCATATGCAGAGCTGCTCGAGGTAAGTATATGCAGCTACGATGGGGCAACCGCACTTGTAGTGATGAACGTGTCACCCCGTTGCGAGGTTGCCCTCACGCAACCATCCGACACGAGACAATGAAGAATTTAAGAACGAAGAGCGAAACAAACAAGAATGGGTACTGCCAGGGCATGCCGCTGGTCTAGTCAGACAACGCTTGCACATACATGCGATCATAGATTGCGTTGTGTTGAAAACTGGTGAGCAATGCCACTAGATGTTCAATTCACGGGAGTGCCTTATGTCATGCAGTGGTCCAGCTGGCTGAATTGGGCGAGCGTAGCGTCGACTGGGCGCGCCACTGTATGTGAACCATGCCAAATGAAAAAGAAGCTGGCATACTTCAATCTACCAATACACATGCTGAGGCCGCGTCAACACATCCCTAGCCGTGTCAACGACCTTCACAGATACACGATATGCGTACTACCCTCCTCCCCCACCTGGCATAGACCACATATGCACCCGCATACTTCACATACATGTGATGGTCTTCTCTCTCTCTCTTTCTCTCTTTCTCTCTCTCTCTCACACTCTCCCTTTACATACAAGCACATGCCTATGTGGTCGTTCTCGGTCGGAACGTCTTCGGTCCTTATACATGTGTTTCCGCTGCAGAGGTGGTCAAACTTCAGGATCTGTGTGCTGCTCCCGTCGTTCAGAACGCCGCTCTCTCTCCGGCGCGGGCCGCATGTTCTGGTTTCGAGCCGTTCCGTGTCGCTGCCGCTCCCCTCCTTGCCCATCATTCGCCTTCCCCTCCTGCTCCTCCCCCTCCCCCTCCTCCTCCTCCTCCGCCTGCTGCTCCTCCTCCTGCTCCTCCTCCTCCACCTCCTCCGCCTGCTCCTCCTCCTCCTCCTCCTCCTCCTCCTCCTCCTCATCCTCCTTCTACTACTACACCATATGAATACTACGTTCCTCCATCCCCTGATGGCGTGCGGAAGATAGCGGGCACCTCTCCGCGTATTGTTTTTTTACCGGATTTCCTGGAGTTGGGTTTTCGCTTGGTTTTTTTCAATATGATGCTCTCGCTGAGGCGCGGGCTTCATTTGCGGGCTCCCGCTCGTTCCGAATCGTGCTCCCGCTGCAGCGCTGGCCTCATTTCCGTGCTTCCGCTCGTTCCGAATCGTGCTCCCGCTGCAGCGCTGGCCTCATTTCCGCGCTTCCGCTCGTTCCGAATCGTGCTCCCGCTGCAGCGCTGGCGTCATTTCCCGTGCCATGCCACGGCATGCAATGCAATGCTAGCTTGCGTTCCGCTGCGCGATGCCATGCCTTCAGCTGCAGCTGTCATATCCAGTGCTTAAGTGCCACGTCATGCTATGCCATGCTACGCTTGGATCTTCAACGCCATGCTATGCAATGTTATGTTCGGGGCCGCTGTGCGATGCTTTGCGTTGCAAAGCTTTGTGATGCAGTTCTTCACTACGCCACGCCACGCCATGCTGTGACATACTACACTTTGCGGTGCTCTTCTACGCCATGCCATGCCGTGCTCTACAATGCATCGCGTACCCTTTCGGGATCATTGCCCTGCTCGACATCCGACTGTGCGAGTAGAGAGGGGATCTACGCCATGGTAAGGGATGGGAGGGAGGGGTAGGATGTCAGATATGACGCGAGCGCACCTAGCTTGCCGCCTCCCCCTCCCCCTCCCCCTCCTCCTCCTCTTCCTCCTCCTCCTCCTCCTCCTCCTCCTCCTCCTCCTCACATGTACACCTCCCGCCACCCCGATCGCAGCTAAACCCATTGAGGAATCATGCTCCTCTAGAGCCCCCGCGAGTCGGTGGATAGAGCAAGGTTATACGCCAAAGCGTTTACGACATATGGCAACATACGTGGACAAGAAAAAGCCTGAACACTCGAAGACATTCTGAATCGGCTACACGCCAGAGTGAACCTGGGTGAGAGTGACAAGTGATGCGCGGGCGCGGGGGGGTCAAAACCCGGGGCGAGCAAGACGGTGCTATCGCAATCGCGCTCGGCGATCGGGGGACCCCACTGGGACCACACACACAACACTCTGGCGAATGCTCACTCTTACGGGTACACGTCGGTCGGAAAAAATAAATTCGCCGGCCCAACGGGCCAAAGGCGTGCTAAGATCTCCGGCAGCTGGTTAACAATATTTCTAGTTCGCGCGCGCGGGGCGGCCCCTGGTTTCCCCGGGCGAAAAATATCCCCGGCAAGTCCCGGGAGGGTCCCGGCAGGGTCGGGTCAGATATGCCGGACCGGGCAATTTTTCCGACACCCCTCACGAGGATCCTGGCCTCCGAGGGAGTAGCCGCAATCGACGCCCCCCCCTCCCGCCCCAAGAGGCTCCCAAGAGCCCCCCAGGAGGCCCTGGGGGCCCCCAAGACGCCGCCAAGGAGCCCCACGAGACTCCGAAGAGGTCCCCAAGAGGCCCCCAAGAGGCCCTAAAGATGGCTCCAGGGCCGGCGGAATGAGCGAAGCGACGACATGAAGTAGGAAAGCGGATGAAGTAGATTGGCTTCAGGCCCTCCCATAGAATAACAAAACGCAGCAACATCAGGTCGGCTCTTGAAGTAGGAAGGCGCTTGAAGTAGGTTGGGAGACGGGAGCCCAGAAAGACCTGCTTTCAACGACCGGCGTATATAGGGGCGAACCCTACCCCTACCCCCCACGATTTCTGAGGGGGAGGGTGGGGTTCACTTCGTTTGGGAGCTCTCGAACGAAGTGAACCCCACCCTCCCCTCAGAAATCGTGGGGGGTAGGGGTAAGGTTCACATGTGGCCCCCTAGTATAGTCGATCCAAGCCGTCCCGTGCCTTCCGCCGACGGAGCCATCACTGCCTCGCTTTTCCGCGGTCCTCTGCCGGCTACTCCGCCGAGGGAGAGGTGGGCCGAGGGCGAAGCCGCTCCTGGAACGCGCCGTGTGGCGTTCCGTCTTGTTTTTGCTCCTTCTGCTGAGCATTTTCTCAGGGTAGAGGGCTCAGGGTGAAATCCAGCTGGGCTCTTGCACCTCGAAAACCAATCCGTCTAGTGATTCACCTTTTGCAGGTTCAAGCCTCGAACATCCATCGAAACAGCATGTCAGATTTCACCTTGTGCCCTCCACCCAAAGAAACTGCTCGGTTCTGTCAGGGTCAGCACAGCTTGCAAGGCAAGTCGCCGATGTACGTTCCCAGGGGGGCGGCCCTCCAAAGAGCTCGGCTGGGGCGCCGAAGCGCCGAAACGAAGGTGTCGTAGTACACGACTGCTTCAGGATCTGGAGTCTACATCGTGGACTCCGGCGAGGCAATCCTTCCCATCAGTTTGAGAATGGACCATCCTTGCCATCAGCTAGCAGAGCTTGCTGGCACAGAACGCAGCGATAGGGGAACAAGCCCTTGGCGTGGTGTCCCTGCAGCTCTGGCGGTATAAGGTGGCTCCTGCGCGCAGGCGTCCCAGCCTGAGGCCCAGGAGCTGCGACGAATGGGGCAGGTCAGGTGTCATACAGTCGGTGTGGAGATCATTGGCTCTGGCCACAGCCGCTGTAAGCTTCTCCGTGTTCGACGACTCAGCGGCAGCGGGAGCGAGCGTGGCGCTGCCCTGGAGGGAGAGAGACAGAGACATAGGGAAAGAGACATTGACAAAGAGAGACACGTAGAGAGAAAGAGCAGAGATGCGGAGACCGTGTAACGAATGGCCACATCTCCTGCCCTGGCACTCCGGAGGACGCAGGCCTCGACCCACCTCGGAGTGGCCCGCTCCTGCCTCTGCCGCCTCCCGCCCAGCCCCCGACGTCGGGGGGTGCTGAAGGTGTCCCTGACCCAAAGTGGCGTGGGCGGAGGAGGGCTGACACAGGGAGGGATCCGGCGGCCAGTTCTGCTGGCTCGCAGCTCTGGCTTGGAGCATCGGCAAGGGCGGGGCCTCTCCTTGAAGCGCCTCGCGTACTTGAGGAGGCCCGCCTCACCTTGGCACGGCGGCCCAGATCGGTCTGCTCGAGGCTGCGACAGCACAACGCAGGGCGTCCTAGAGGAGGCACACCACGCAACGGACTCCTGTGACTGATCAGCGTAGCTTGCAGGGTTTGCATTTGAGCGGAAACAACCCTCCAACATACACCACGATCATTGCGCTTCCAATTCTGACTTCTGATGACTTGTGATTCGGTGCTCCTTTTCTGGCAACCGCACGAGTGTAACCCATGGTACTCTTACACAGAAGGGCTGTTTGTCTAGCCATGCGTAAGTAGCGGCTTGATATCCTTTGTGTGGCCGGTGCAAGAATACTACCCAAGGTACCCCTCTCCCCCAAACATCATCGCGCAACCTGTTGACCAGCTGTGCGAAACCGCCTGCACCAGGTAAAACAGCCCAGCTGCTCCGACACGCATTGCCACTGGGATCGCATCGAAATCCCGCTGCAGTGGATCCAGCGGGGCGCCGCGCGAAAGCCCCGACGGTGCCCGATGGAACCCGCGTGGCAGTCGACGCCGCCAGGCTGGCATCGATCGCCACGGCTGCGCGCCTCCAGGGAGGCGGGATTGGAAGGAGCGGGGAAGGAGGGACGCAGGGGAGGGAACGGGTGGACGGAGGGGTGGATGGAGGGGTGGATTAGGGGAACGAAAGGTGACATAAACATAAAAACTCGGAGGTCCGCGCGGATTTCTCGGATCGGCGCTGGGGCCCCCCGGCGGCGCCTCCGGCGCCGCCCCTGGCGCGCTCCGCGCGCCAGGGAGGAGGGTCCAGCGCCGATCCGAGAAATCCGCGCGGACCTCCGAGCTTTTATGTTTGCGTCACTTTTCGGTTCCCCTAGTGGATGGAGGCAGAGGTGGGGGGGAGGGGAAGTAAACGCAGGGTTCCCCGCCCGCTGTCAACGCACCTCGCTCGCGAGACCTCGCACAAAAACACTGGCGGTGCGCCGTCTGGCAGACGGGAACTCCTGGTGACCCAGATTCCGACGTTGTTCATTACGTCGGCCCCTGGAGGTCTCGACCCATTCCCCTGGACCGGTTTTTCATCCCGAATCAGTTCTTGACGGCCCCGAAGCCCGGTGAGGGCCCCAGGAGGCCGAAAATAGCAAAAAACCTTCCCTCATGACTTTTGTTCACTACCCGAGGGGTCTGGGGATGTAGCTCCCGGTCGCTCCTGGGGTCGGTGGGCTCTGCATGCCTTCGCCCTGCTCCTCGAGCTGGCTGGGCCAGCAGTGGTGCGCGCGCCTGCAGGCACATGGTGCGCGCCGACCCCGGAGTCGCAGAGCCGTGGTGTCTCCGGGGGCGCCTGCGAAGACAGGCGACCACGCAGCGACGCCGCCCTTCCTCTCTGTTGGCCGTCGCTGCGCGGGGAGGTCCTTTTTGCGGTGGCTGCCGATGCCCTCGGCTTCGCGGTGCCGTTCGAGGCGCTCTGGCCAAGGGGCGCCCAATACCCATCCCAGAGGGGCAGGAGAGCACCGGGTACGCTGTGTTGACCGCCGGCACCCCAGCGCTGAGGAGATCGTGATCGCAAGAATCGTGTACCCATCAGGGATTCGGATTCCAGCCGGGCACGTCGACAAGAATGCCAATCCAATCCGCTCACAACGGACGTGCATGACTTCCTGGCTCCGTTCAGCGAGCCTGAGACTCGAGGGAACCGAGAAAGCGTGTTCACGTCAACATCGCGACCAGCGTGATCCATACTGATGTACAGGCACTCGGGGTACAGTCCGCACGTGATGATGATGATGATGATGATGATGATGATGATGACAATGATGATGATGATGCTGATGATGATGACGATGATGATGAAGATGAAGATGATGGTGATGATGATGATGTGGTGGTGGTGGAACGGAGGATCAATAATGACCGAATTACGATGGGGATGGGGACGGAGAGAAACAACGGACACTGCCGGCCTTGAGCTTGGCAGCTAGGGTGACCAAACCTGTTGACCTCAACCTCAGTCGTATTCCTTCTTGATGCATACTCCCGCTCTGCAACCAACCTAATTCGCCGATAACCGCTGGCTTCGTGTGGTCGATCCCACTCGCTGAACACCAATCCAATGTCGACGCGTTTCCTCTGGATGCAGACATGTCGCCGTCGACAATGCACACTGCGCGGCGGGAACTGGACGCGGCGCGACTCGCGAGCGTAGCAGCCAAATGTCGCTCTCGCCTCGGCGTCCTTGCGGCTCACGTGTCGCCTGCCAACTCGTCCACAACGGGGTCGCCCGCGAGAAAGCGACACGTAGCTTTAAGTCGGGCGTGTCCCCCTACAGGCGGACTTTGGACGAGAAATAAAACATACCCCCCAAACTCCCCAAACCTATAACATGATCGACCCACGAACCCGGAAAGGAATATAGAACTGTAACACATGGCAGCGCTTTCAAAGACACCTGATTGGGTGACGGGCAAATGCAATGCTGAAGGTATCGATCTTGATGTACCCTGCCGAGGGCCGTGCTGTGCTGCACCGCGCTGAATTGCGATGTGCCATGCCGCGATTGTGCTCTATAGCGTCGTGGATCGAGTCCTCCATCCGAGTCCTGACCGAACTGATCTGGATCTTAAGCTCGAGCTGCCTGAACACATAGTAGCTGCCCCAGAGCTAATGGGCAGGGGAACATGCCAGGAGGACGCGCCGCGAAACGCCCCAAGGGATGCGCCAGGCGACGTGCCAGGGGACGTGCCATGGGGTCGCACCGCGGGACGTGCCAAGGGGACGCGCTACGGAAAGTGCCAATGGATGTACCACGGGATGTGCCAGGGGACGCGCCACGCGACGTGCCAGGGGGACTCGCCAAGGGACGCCCCACGGAACGTGCCAAGGAACGTGCCAAGTTGCAATGCTGAGTGTACGATCTTGATGTACCCTGCCGAGGGCCGTGCTGTGCTGCACCGTGCTGAATTGCGATGTGCCATGCCGCGATTGTGCTCTATAGCGTCGTGGATCGAGTCCTCCTTTGCATCCGAGTCCTGACCGAACTGATCTGGATCTTAAGCTCGAGTTGCCTGAACACATAGTAGCTGCCCCAGAGCTAATTGACAAGGGGACATGCCAGGAGGACGCCACGCGGAACGTCTCAAGGGACCCGCCAAGCGACGTGCCAAGGGACGTGCCATGGGGACGCACCGCGGGACGTGCTAAGGGGACGCGCTACGGAACGTGCTGGGGACAAGCGTTTCGCTCGAGACAACCTGCCAACATCCTCAGAATTCCTGCGCGCGGGACGCGGCACGCGCGAGACATCCTCGAAATTCTCACGAGCGGGACGTGAAAACAAGCATTTCGCCTGAGACATCCTCTGAATTCTGGCCCCCCACGAGGCCCCCGCTCGAGACATCCCCCAATTTTGCAAATCCAGCGTGCTCGAAACGTCTTCAACAAATTATGAAAAGAAGCATTTCGCTCGAGACATCCTGCCAAAATTCAAGGAAATCCTAGCAACACAAGCGAATTAGTCGAGACATCCTCGAGATTCATGCGCGCGGGACGCGGCACGCGCGAAACATCCTGAGAATTCCTGCGCGCGGGGCGCTATCCCGCGTCGCGGTCGGCTCTGCAAAACCAGCGTTTCGCTCGAGACATCCTCATCACATTCTGAAAACAAGCGTTTCGCTCGAGACATCCCCAACTCTGCAAAACCAGTGTTTCGCTTGAGACATCCTCAACAAATTGTGAAAAACAAGCGTTTCGCTAGGGACATCCTCAAATTTTAATTCGCCGGCCCTACGCGACCTCGTTATTTATCGCAGAATAATTTCGCCGGCCCTACAGCCGTCGAATCCGGGGGTAAACAGCTAAAAGAGAACCCTGGGCTCGAGCCCTTTCCGGGAAAAAGATTGTCAACAAATCGTCCCCGGACTATTTCTTGACCATTTTTGAACAGTCCTCCTGTGGAGGGACTCGCCCGACTTCCATGCAGCTCTCGCCGACGCGCCGGGCAGGTGCCCTTTCAAAGTGGCGCTGCCCCGCTCGAGCGGTGGCCACGTGTCCGTCACTCCCCCAGGTCGCTATCGGAGAAGGGGGCGGCGCGAGCCGTCGAAGAGTATCGCCCTCGCCCGGGCTCCGGGCAGGGTCTCCCCTGAGATGAGGTGCTCCCACTGGGCCACGTGCCTGTTTTTTGGGGCCTGGCAATGGGCACCAACACCAACGCAGGGGGGGGCCTCCACAGGGGGCAGGTGATCCTAGAGTTCGGTGTTGGTGGTAATATGTCGGCCACCTTGGAAGCCAGAATATTACCATCATCATCGCCGAGATCGGGATCTGCTTCTCTCGGTGGAGGCACACCGCCGACATTGGTGTCGGTGGTAACCTCTAGGCCTGCGATGTTTTTCGGTCACTGGGAAAAAAAGGCAGCGGGGCTGCGCGTGAGCGGCCGACATTTTGCGCTGACCCCAAGCGCCGCGCAGACTTCGGGTGACAGCGGCAGTGCTGCTTCGGCGTGGCGCACGGTTTGTCGTCGCGTCTCTCTTCGGAGCTGCGGTGGCGCAAGAAAATTAAACATGATCGACCCACGAACCCGGAAAGGAATGTAGAACTGTAACACATGGCAGCGTTTTCAAAGACACCTGATTGGGTGACGGGCAAATGCAATACTGAAGGTATCGATCTTGATGTACCCTGCCGAGGGCTGTGCTGTGCTGCGCCGTGCTGAATTGCGGTGTGCCATGGCGCGACTGTGCTCTATAGCCTCGTGGATCGAGTCATCCTTTGCATCCGAGTCCTGACCGAACTGATCTGGATCTTAAGCTCGAGCTGCCTGAACACATAGTAGCTGCCCCAGAGCTAATGGACAGGGGAACATGCCAGGAGGACGCGCCGCGAAACGTCCCAAGGGATGCGCCAGGCGACGTGCCAGGGGACGTGCCATGGGGTCGCACCGCGGGACGTGCCAAGGGGACGCGCTACGGAACGTGCCAATGGATGTGCCACGGGATGTGCCAGGGGACGCGCGACGCGACGTGCCAGGGGGACTCGCCAAAGGACGCCCCACGGAACGTGCCAAGGAACGTGCCAAGTTGCAATGCTGAGTGCATCGACCTTGATGTACCGTGCCGAAATCAGTGCTGTGCTGCGCCGTGCTGAATTGCGATGTGCCATGGCGCGATTGTGCTCTATAGCCTCGTGGATCGAGTCCTCCTTTGCATCCGAGTCCTGACCGAACTGATCTGGATCTTAAGCTCGAGCTGCCTGAACACATAGTAGCTGCCCCAGAGCTAATGGACAGGGGAACATGCCAGGAGGACGCGACGCAGAACGTCTCAAGGGACGCGCCAAGCGACGTGCCAAGGGACGTGCCATGGGGACGCATCGCGGGACCTGCCAAGGGGACGCGCTACGGAACGTGCTGGGGACAAGCGTTTCGCTCGAGACATCCTGTCAAAATCATCTGAATTCCTACGCGCGGGACGCTGCACGCGCGAGACATCCTCGGAATTCCTGCGAGCGGGACGTGAAAACAAGCATTTCGCCTGAGACATCCTTTGAATTCTGGCCCCCCACGAGGCCACCGCTCGAGACATCCTCCAATTTTGCAAAACCAGCGTTTCGCTCGAGACATCCTCAACAAATTATGAAAAACAAGCGTTTCGCTCGAGACATCCTGTCAAAATCCAAAGAAATCCAAATACCCGCGCGCGGGACGCGGCACGCGCGAGACATCCTTGGAATTCCTGCGCGAGGTGCGCTTTTCCGTGTCGCGGTCGGCTCTGCAAAACCAGCGTGTCGCTCGAGACATCCTCAACAAATTCTGAAACCAAGCGTTTCGCTCGAGACATCCCCAACTCTGCAAAACCAGCGTCTCGCTCGAGACATCCTCAACAAATTCTGAAAAACAAGCGTTTCGCTCGAGACATCCTCAAAAATAATTTCGCCGGCCCTACTCCGTGCGTGCCCGCTCGCAAAATAATTTTGCCGGCCCAAGTCGCAGGGGGGCCGGGGGGTTAACCTACTAAAAGAGAACCCTGGGCCCGCGCCCTTTCCGGGAAAAAGGTCCCCTCGCCGCAGCGACGCGCAATGCTGTTCTGGAAGGTCCACTTCTGCCGGCGCGCGGCCTGCGCCATTCCACCTCGACAAGTCGTCGGAAACGGAACCGCGCGCGAGCGCGTCCCTTCGCCAGGCAAGACCGTGCGCTCGTCCGTCGTCTCAGTATCCAAATGAAGGAGCCTTTGCGTTCATGTTACGGGAAAGGGGGGGCGAGAGAGAGCGGTGACCACTAACTCGATCGGCCTGGCTACCTTGACCTCCCCCCCTTTGGACGCCCGAAATGGGCACGGAAAAAATGGGCACACTGCCAAACAATAAATGCTGTCCAAAACCGACAGCGGCCGCTGTTGCGCAGGCGGTTTTTTCTGTGAAGAACAACGTCCGCGGCGACGCGGACAGCGAGTCCTGCTCAAAATGAACAGGAATTGCTGTTGGCCTCTGTACCCATTCGATCGACCCGACCCCCTTCTTCCACTCCTCAGTCGCATCCCCACCTCACGACCCTCCGTCCCCGCCGCCTCCTCCCCTCCCTTTCCCGCACTGCCGTCTCCGAACGCCTGGGGGTGGCGGGCTTTCGGTCCCGCTGGCTTCTGCAAAGCTGCCGCCGGCAGGGCCGCCCATGTCTTCGAGGCCCAGGGACACACACACAGAGAAATAGACACAGATCCCAGGATCCCCACCACGTTCGTACATTTTCTGGGCGTTCGTCTTCCACCCCCACGTCCTACATGTTCCTACCTTCTCCTGGGAGTCGACGATTCATGTTGCCTGTGTGCTTTTGTTTCCCCCCCCCCTCCAGACTTGCTTCCCTCGGCTCCTGTGGGCCTTCCGCGGGCCGCCGTGGAGGGCGAGATGCCAACTCTTCGACGCCGCGGGGAGAGGCGCCCCCGTCCCCCCCTCGCGCGACCCGCATGCGCACGGCGCAATCGCTGGGCCCGTGGCCCTCCGCCCTGACGTCGTTGATGATCGCCAGGGCCTGCTCCCTGGCCTTTGCCTCCACGGGCTCCATGTCGAGATCCTCGACCTCGCTGGGCTTGATCAGGCGGAGGCAGGGCATCTCGGCCTCCCCGGGGACGGGCGCGGCACTCTCGGGGCAGCCGCGGCCGTGCCCGCCGCTCGGGAGAGGCGGGCGAGCAACGGGAGGCTGGCGGGCGTCCAGGGCAGGTGGGGTTTCCGCCCCCCCCCCTGGGGAGGAAGGGGATGGGACACCGCTCGACACTTGAGATACAGTCGGGGCCTTGACCTAAGGAACCCTAAATAAGGAACGAGGCCCCTTTCTCCCATACATTAAACTTCGATATCCGATCGAGCACATAAGGAAAACCTGAGGCAAGCTGCGAAACACTTAAGGAACACGGAGCCCCTCCCCAACGAAAAGGGCTCCTTCTTCAGGGCCCCGACTGTAGGGAGGCGCGTGAAGCAGACTGGAGTCTGGGAATCCCGAGTGCCCACTTTCCACGGGGCGACGTCTGCTGCAGGGGCAGGCGGACGGACGACGGGGGAATGGCGGGGCGCGTTCGGACGTTGCCCCGACGAGTGCGGACGCTTTCGGACGCGTGGTGGCTTACGGGATGTGGTTCTCCAGCGGTCCCCCTGCTGCTTTCTGCCGCTTCCTGGTGTCTTTGTTGGGGGGGGAGGTTTTCGGACGGGCTCATGGGAGGGGGGGCAGCGGTGTTTGGACGTTGGCTGCCGGTTTTGAGCTTTAGGGAATTCCAGAACAAAAGAGACCCCCAGAAACCTCCAGCGGGGGGAGAGGCAGAGGAGGAAGCGGAGGAGGAGGAGGAGGAGGTGGAAGGGGAGTGCGGAGAGAGGGATGGGAGACAGGGACGAGAGTGGGAGTATAGGGAAGGGAGCGAGAGAGTGGGTATGGCGGGAGGGCGAGGAAGCGAGGGGAAGGGAGAGAAGAGGAGCAGGGCTCGACCAAAGCAATGTTTGTCGTTTTCGTTCTGGTTTCGTTTTCCCTCGTGTTGTCTTCGTTCCGCTTTTTCACTGCAAAGTGAGAAGCCAACATGATCGACCCACGAACCCGGAAAGGAATATAGAAATGTAAGACATGGCAACGTTTCAAAGACACCTGATTGGGTGACGGGCAAATGCAATGCTTAGTGTATCGACCTTGATGTACCCTGCCGAGGGCTGTGCTGTGCTGTGCCGTGCTGAATTGCGATGTGCCATGCCACGAGTGTGCTCTATAGCGTTGTGGATCGAGTCCTCCTTTGCATCCGAGTCCTGACCGAACTGATCTGGATCTTAAGCTCGAGCTGCCTAAGCACATAACTAGTAGCTGCCCCAGAGTTGATTGACAAGGGAACATGCCAGGAGGACGCGCCGCAGAACGTCCCAAGGGACGCGCCAGGCGACGTGCCAGGGGACGTGCCATGGGGACGCACCGCGGGACGTGCCAAGGGGACGCGCTACGGAAAAGTGCCAATGGACGTGCCACGGGACGTGCCAAGAGACGCACCAAGCGAGCTGTCAGGGGACGTGCCATGGGGACGCACCGCGGGACGTGCCAAGGGGACGCGCTACGGAACGTGCCAATGGACGTGCCACGGGACGTGCCAGGGGGCGCGCCGCGCGACGTGCCAGGGGGACTCGCCACAGGACGCGCCACGGAACGTGCCAAGGAACGTGCCAAGTTGCAATGCTGAGTGAGTGTACCGATCTTGATGTACCGTGCCGAGGGCTGTGCTGTGCTGCGCCGTGCTGAACTGCGATGTGCCACGTGACGATTGTGCTCTACAGCGTTGTGGATCGAGTCCTCCGTTGCATCCGAGTCCTAACCGAACTGATCTGGATCTGAAGCTCGAGCTGCCTGAGCACATAGTAGCTGCCCCAGAGCTAATTCACGGGGGGCATGCTAGGAAGACGCGCCGCCGAAAGTTCCAAGGGACGCGCCAGGCGACGTGCCAGGGGACGTGCCATGGGGACGCACCGCGGGACGTGCCAAGGGGACGCGCTACGGAACGTGCCAATGCATTATGGACGTGCCACGGGACGTGCCAGGGGACGCGCCGCGCGACGTGCCAGGGGGACTCGCCACAGGACGCGCCACGGAACGTGCCAAAGAACGTGCCAAGTTGCAATGCTGAGTGAGTGTACCGATCTTGATGTAATGTGCCGAGGGCTGTGCTGTGCTGCGCCGTGCTGAACTGCGATGTGCCATGCCGCGATTGTGCTCTACAGCGTTGTGGATCGAGTCCTCCGTTGCATCCGAGTCCTGACCGAACTGATCTGGATCTTAAGCTCGAGCTGCCTGAGCACATAGTCCACGCAGTAGCTGCCGCAGAGCTAATTGACAAGGAAACATGCCAGGAAGACGCGCCGCGGAACGTTCCAAGGGACGCGCCAGGCGACGTGCCAGGGGACGTGCCACGGGGACGCACCGCGAGACGTGCCAAGGGGACGCGCTACAGAACGTGCTGGGGACAAGCGTCGTGTTGGTGGCCTGGAAACGTAAAAACACGGTGCCAGCTCGGGACAACCATGAGAGATACCCCCTGGGTGGCCTGGACACGTAAAACACGTGGTTCCAGCTCGGGACAATCATGCTAGAGATCTCCCTGGGTGGCCTGAGTATGAAAAAACACATGGTTCCAGCTCGGGACAGCCATGTTAGATACCCCTCTGTGTGACTTGGATACGCTGAATTCGCACTCCCGCTCGAGACATCCTCAAAACGTCTTCCCTGGAGAGGCCCCCAAAGCGCACCCCCCTGTTCAGAGCAAGAAGCCATTACTTTTCCTCATAATTCGGCGTTGGGCCCAACGCCATGTTAGATACCCCAACTCTGCAAAACCAGCGTTTCGCTCGAGACATCCTCAACAAATTCTGAAAAGCAAGCGTTTCGCTCGAGACATCCCCCAACTCTGCAAAACCAGCGTTTCGCTCGAGACATCCTCAACAAATTATGAAAAACAAGCGTTTCGCTCGAGACATCCTGTCAAAATCCCAAGAAATCTAAATTCCTGCGCGCGGGACGCGGCACGCGCGAGACATCCTCAGAATTCCTGCGCGAGGGGCGCTTTTCCGTGTCGCGGTCGGCTCTGCAAAACCAGCGTTTCGCTCGAGACATCCTCAACAAATTCTGAAACCAAGCGTTTCGCTCGAGACATCCCCAACTCTGCAAAACCAGCGTTTCGCTCGAGACATCCTCAACACATTCTGAAAAAACAAGCGTTTCGCTCGAGACATCCTCAAACATAATTTCGCCGGCCCAAGTCGCAGGGGGGCCGGGGGGTTAACCTACTAAAAGAGAACCCTGGGCCCGCCCCCTCTCCGGGAAAAAACGAAAACGGTCCAGGACATCGCCCAAACACCGTGTATATGCCGAGGCCTGGCGAGGAGAGGGGAGGGGAGGGGAGGAGCAGAGGGAGAGGGACGATCGAGGGGAGCAGAGAGTGGAGAGAGGAGCAGAGGAGTGGAGCAGAGGCAGGAGAGGAGCAGAGAGGAGCAGCAAGGAGCAGAGGAGTGGCGAGAGGAGGCCGCCTCCGTGCAGTCGACCCCCCGGGCCCGTCCTGGAGCGCCCCCTCCGACCAGGGTCTCGCGGCCCGTCCGGTCGTGGCGGCGCAGGCGCCACGAACGGGGACGAGCCCGAAGCCAAGGACCTCGAGGGTGCCGAGGTCAGGATGTCGAGGATGCCCGAGACAAGGGAAACACCTCGAAACGTTCCTCCTCCTCCCCCTCCTCCTCCTCCTCCTCCTCCTCTCTTCCTCCTCCTCCTCCACCTCCTCCTCCTCCTCCTCCTCCTCCTACCTCCTCCTCCTCCTTCTCCTCTCCTCCTCCTCCTCCTCCTCCTCCTCCTCCTCCTCCTCCTCCTCCTCCTCCTCCTCCTCCTCCTCCTCCTCATCATCATCATCATCATCATCATCATCATCATCATCATCATCATCATCATCATCATCATCATCATCATCATCATCATCATCATCAGCTTTGAGGGGTGTCTGTAGGCCTCTACGGCCCAAACACCATCGAACGACCCAAACCATCTGATCGTCCCGGCTCGCTCCACACGTACTCCTCCCCACGATCCGCCCCGGAAGAGGGAGATTCTCCCCGATTCCGGACGCCACGAGTGCCTCCCCCCGCGGGCCCCAGGCCTCTGCATCCGCCCCGTGCCCCCTGGCGTGCTTCTCATCCTGGGACTCCGCTTCCCGATGGCCACGGGGCCCGACCCCGACAACCCACCCCCCCCCCCCCCCCCCCTCCCCCCCCTCCCCCTCCCCCTCCCCCTCCCCCTCCTCCTTCTCCTCCTCCTCCTCCTCCTCTCCTCCTCCTCCTCCTCCTCCTCCTCCTCCTCCTCCTCCTCCTCCCCCACTCTTCCTCTCCTCCTCCTCCTCCTCCTCCTCCTCCTCCCCTCCTCCTCCCTCCTCTTCTCCTCCTCCCTGCCTCCCTGCCTCCCTGCCTCCCTGCCTCCCTGCCTCCCTCCCCTCCTCCCTCCCTCCCCTCCCTCCCTCCCTCCCTCCCTCCCCCCTCCCTCCCTCCCTCCCTCCCTCCCTCCTCCTCCTCCCTCCCCTCCTCCTCCTCCTCCTCCTCCTCCTCCTCCTCCTCCTCCTCCTCCTCCTCCTCCTCCTCCTCCTCCTCCTCCCCCTCCTCCTCCTCCTCCTCCCTCCTCCTCCCTCCTCCTCCTCCTCCTCCTCCTCCTCCCCCTCCCCCTCCTCCTCCTCCTCCTCCTCCTCCTCCTCCTCCTCCTCCTCCTCCTGCCCTCCCCCCCCCAAACAACCGTGGACGCCAAAACCTCATGCACTGTCCGCTCCGACGTCCCAAGCCGCTGGAGGTCTGGCCGGGCCCGTGCAGCTCCGCCCGAAGCTCGGCTGCGGGGACTCGCCATCGCTCGGGTTCAGTCGGGCGTGTCCCCCTACAGGGGGATTCTCGACGAAAAACCAAAAATATGCAAAACATGCTCCAACATGGCCAAAAAGATGCTAAAAAAATAGTACCCTGAACTTTTTTGGACTGTTTTTGAATAGTTCCCCTGCATGGGGGACATGCCCCACCTCCGTTCCTCGCGCATGCGTCCATGTCGTGCGTGCATTCTTGCGTTTTCTGACTCGGCGTTTCGACATTGAGCGAAGAGGGGGGGCAGGGGGGGGTCTGGCTCCGGGGCTCTGCTCAGCGCGACTGTTTGCAACAGTGCGTCCTCTGGGGGAGGGACTCCACCTGCTCGAAACAGGCGCCAAAAACAGCCAAGATCCACCCCAGGGGGGGGTGCGAGGGCCGGCGCTGATCGGCAAAACAATGAATAAGGAAACGATCACTATTTGTCGCTATATGATCGAATCGGCGGCGAGCGAGGGGGGGAAGTGACAAGGAGAAGGCCCTCTCAGAAAGCGGCGGGGCGTCTCAGAAGCCTTCCCCGGCCTCCTGAAAGGCGTCCCGTGTCCCCGGGGCAGGCTTCAAGCACTTCTCAGAAGGCCGGGGGGACTTCCGCGCCGTCCGAGAAGGCCCGCCCATTCTCGCTGCCCCCCCTCGCTCGCCGCCGATCAGAGATTCTTCTCGCTGGTCCTCGTCGAAGAAAATGAGCATCGTTTATCCGATCCCTATCTCCAGCGGCGTGGCCTGGGCCCCACTGGCCGATTTACCCCCCTGGATGGGGATATAGGTCGTTCCCTTCGGCTTTCGACGGGTATGTCCCCAACTGGGGTGGTAATTCGGTGAGGGTCTCGACGGGGATGGCGATGTGGATGGGGATCGGTTAAACGATACTGAAAAAATGCACACATCCGAGCGATGCCACGGGGAAAGGCCCCTCCCTGGGCTCCAACCTGACCACAAAACTCTTCGGGCTGCGTGCTCGGCCGTGGACCGTGGACGGCCCGGGGATCCGCCCGGGAGGCAGCAAAACAGGGCCAAGGAACGTGTCTCAGTCCTCCCTCCTCTTCCACAGGGGCACCGACACACAGACACTGACACAGACACAGACACAGACACAGACACAGACACAGACACAGACAGACACACACACACACAAGCAAAAGCACAAACACAAGCATAAGCACAAACACACACACACACAGGAACACACACATAAATAAGTAGACACAACTCCTACGACTCAGCATCTTTTCCTGGGAGTCGACGATTAATTGTGTCTATCTGTGTACGTTTTTCCCCTCCTGATCCTCCGCTCCCACATTAGTCCCCAGAAGCCCCGAAGCACCACGGAAGGGCCCCTGTGTGGGAACGAGTGCTTCTCATCCGCCCTCCTCCCTCCTTCTCGGACCTCCGACGGCGAGGCTTCCCTACCACGTGGAAGCCCAGAGGTCTCGACCCCCTCCTCGGGGCCAGCCTTTCCTCAAGCAGTGGCGAAGCGTCCTGGCGTGCCTACAGGCCTACCAAATAATGTTCTGAGAACCTTTTGCGGTTTCCACGACATGTTCTTGGAAATTTCTGGCTGGGGCTGTCTTGGTTCAACACATAGGTTTTCTGTTATGAGAATTTGTTTAAACGAATGTTTTTAAAGAGCATTGTTCATGTTATTCGAACTTTTTTCGGGTGCGGCCAAGAGGGGGGGGTGTCCAAGAGGGGGGAGGGGGGGCAAATCATGTCCGGCGGCATTTGCGCGGCCAGGGGGGGGGGGGGCAGGGTCGTAATGAAATGAGAAGAGGCGCCATGACATCTGGGGAAATAGCATGGCCCCAGCCATGATGACATCCGCCCCCCCCCCTGGTCATCACCCCCCTCTTTGCCGCCCCCAATGTTTGGGTTCTTCGCACATCTCGTGGTCGGCCTAAAGAAGTGCCGGGACGGTCGGTCCCTGCTCGATTCCCATCCCGGGCCGTTTCTTGACAGCCCCGGGCCGGGTGAGGGCCCCCAAAGGCCGAGGGCGGCCAACAGCCTCCCGTCGTGGAGGCCGTGCCCCGACGCGGGGAGGCCCGGGCTCCCCCGGAGATCCGACTGCGCAGAACCTCAACTGCGCCGAAGCGTATTGATACGGAGCTCAACACGTAGGCTGAAAGCGTAGGTCCGACGCGATACATTCGCCAAACCGTGGTCCAAGACGTGGAGCCAACACGCAACGTGTTGACACGGACATCTTGAACACGGGACGTGTTGCGTCTCAAAAAGCGGGCGTGTCGAGGCACCCAAGCGCAGAACGTGGCAAACCCGCGGGAAATCACGGCCAGAGCCCGGGGTCCAGTCGTTCTGCCCCAGTCCTCGAGCCCAGCCTCTCAGCGACGGCCCTGGGGGGGGGTGGGGGGGGGGCCGAGACTGGGCGAAGAGACGCGTGGCGTGGCGAGACTGCGACGCGTGGCTCCCCAGGCTTCCCCTCTCTTCACAGGCACGCAGCCACGGCCCAGACTCAGGAGGGAACAAAAACACACACAGACACAATTAATCGTCGACTCCCCAGAAAATGTAAGAACACATGGGAAGTGGAGGGGAAGACAAAACCCAGAAAATATGGAACCATATGGGGAATATTTTTATTTGTGTGTATTCATTTGTGTGTCCCTAGGCCCCTTTCACAGACTTCCGACGATGTCTTGACATGTCAGTGCGGGCGCCCCGAAAGTCCCGACTCTTTCCCCATGGGCCAGGCCCGTGGGGCGGCTTCCTCCCCCTCCTCCTCCTCCTCCTCCTCCTCCTCCTCCTTCTCCTCCTCCTCCTCCTTCTCTTCCTCCTCCTCCTCCTCCCCCTCGTCCTCCTCCTCTTCCTCCTCCTCCTCCTCCTCCTCCTCCTCCTCCTCCTCCTCCTCCTCCTCCTCCTCCTGTTCATCAGGAGAGTCGCTTGAAAACGGCCCCGTGGCCAGGCGACGGGCCCACGGCCCCGGAGGCTGCAAAAACGACGAAACCTCTCCACCCTTTGCTCGGCTCCAACAGAGCGGGACCGAGGCCCCCCCCCCGGCGAGGCCTCCGCGGGCATGGCGTGCCGGGCTCCGCGCCTAGATCGGCACGCCCGCAGCGGATGCGGACGACAAGGGGTACATACGATGCCTAAGAGCAGATGCGATCCGGCAGCGACGGCGGCCGCTGTCGGGCAGGTGAGTCCGCGTTCCAACGGACGACGCCCGCGGCGACACAGCCAGCGAACCCAGAGATCCGATGTCATGATTTTTCAATACGGGGTCCCCAGAAGTCTCGACCCACTCCCCAAGACAGGTTCCTCATCCTGAGTCGTTTTCTGACGGTCCCGGGGCCCGGCGAGGGCCCCTCGAGGCCGAAACTTGAAAAAAAAGCCTCCGTCTGGATTTTTTTCAATACGTTGGATCTCTGGGAACCCTGTTCGATGACAGGACCACCCTGAGATCCGACGGCGCGGAAGTCACGACCAGAACCCTGGACCCCATCGGCTCTGCTGCACTCTCCGAGCCGCGTCGATCCGCGTGGGCCCAGGGGCCCGGGAAAGGATATACGAACACGCCCGGCTCGGGCCAAACAATGCGACACCAAGACCTCGGGGACTGCTGTTGGTCCTCGCCGCCCCTCTTTCCGCACCCCTGGGTCGGGCGTGCCCAGCGATCCAACGTATTGAAAAAATCAAGACGGAGGTTTTTCTTAGTTTTCGGCCTCCAGGAGCACTCGGCGGGCCCTGGGACCGTCAAGAAACGACTCAGGATGACAAACCGGTCCTGGGGAATGGGTCGAGACTTCTGGGGACCCCGACATCGGATCTCTGGGGATCTCGGGGACTGCTGTTGGTCCTCGCCGCCACTCTTTCCGCACCCCTTGGGTCGGGCGTGTCCTCCAACAGAGGCGAGTTCTGGGAGAGAAAAAAATAGCCACACACAAAAAAATACCTCAAACATAGTCAGACGTGGTCGAGCAATCGCCCCCCAGAGTAAATATGACTTGCCTGTCTTTGACGATGGTCCTCCTGCGGGCCCGACCTCACCGTACCCACTCCGGTCGTGCCGAGCCTGAGGGCACCTGCGGCGCGCGGGCCCGGCGGCGGCCCAAGCCCCTGTGGGCGCCGATGCGCTCGCGGGAGCCGGCCACGGCTGCGGCTTCGCGCGCGCGGCACTCGCTTACCAGCCTGGAGCATATCCCCATCCCTATGCTGGGCATCTCCTCATCACGATGCCAATCTTAGGGATCCCCTCATTTTTTGAGGGCGCATCCCTGAGATTGTCATCGCCTCTTGGCGCGTCAATCTTAGGGATAAGGATACGTTCGAGGCTGGTAACTCGCGGGGAGGGGCATCGAAAAACCCGCAGGAGGGTGGCGAGGGCCGAGGGGAGCACCGAGGAGGGCGCCCTCCCTGGGCCCAGGCACCCGCAGGGCGAGGAGCGAGGCTCGGCGGCAGATTTCCGGGGGGAGCAGCGAGAGAAGGGGGCGGGCCCTCTCTCGGAAAGCTCGGGAGTCCCCCTGGGCCTTCTGGCAGATTGCTGTCCCGAGCACAGCTCTCCCCCGCGCCTCGAGAAGGCACGGGAGACCTTCTCGGAAGCTCGGGGCGGGCTGCCGAGCAGCCCCGCCGCCTTTCGCGAGGAGGCCCGCTCCTCCTCGCTGCCCCCCCCGCCCGTCGCTCGCCGCCGAGAGGAGGGCCCGAGCCCGCGGGAGAGGAGCGCGGAGGGGCCGGGGCCCGGGCGTCGGGTGCTCTTCGGCGGTTTTGCTCCCAGGGGCCGTCGCCCCAGAGGGCCGTCGACGACAGGGCAGCGACGCCCTGGGCGAGGGGTCGGGTGCAGGCCTTCTGGGAGGTCCACGCCGTCAGATCTCCCCGCCCCTCCTCGTCATCTTCCTCCTCCTCGCCCTACTCCTCCTCCTTTTCCTCGCCCTCCTCGCCCTCCTCTTCCTCCTCCTCGCCCTCCTCCTCGCCCTCCACTTCCTCCTCCTCCTGGCTCTCCTCCTCGCCCTCCTAATCTTCCTCCTCCTCTTCCTACTCGCCCTCCTCGCCCTCTTCTTCCTTGCCCTCCTCCAATAACAGTAGGAGCTCGTCCACGATAACAACCTTCCGCAGGAAGCCCAATGCTGAGACCCAAGGACGTCCACTGATTCTTGTTGCGGGAGCGTCGCGCTCTCCACAGCAGAGCCATCGAAACCCAGGAAATCCAGGGCACCCTGGAGGCAGAAAGGGTTTTTCTTGGCATGGGTCCCGACGGCATCGCGACGACGGTGGCCTGGGGAGGTGAGGCAAGGTACACCTTTCGTGCACCTTCGGGGCCCCAGGGTGGGTGGAGCGGAGCGGCGGGGAGGTCGATGGGTGCGTTGCTTCTCGCTCGATTCTAGCACGGGCGGGTCGCTTTCTGTTCGTCTGCAAAATCACCGCGGGAGGGGTGAGGGCCCTCACCTTTGTTGCCAACCTCAGGCTGGCAACGCTCGCTTCCGTTCTCTTCCATGCAATTGTGCTTCCTTGCCGCCATGTCCTGCCCTGCTGCAGACCTCTTGCGGACCCCTTCTGGGCTGTATTGGGCCCTCCCTCTTGGGCGTTCCGGCGGCTCTCTTGAGCTCCTCTGGGCCCTCTCGAGATGCCCACCAAAGGTTGTGATTAGAGGGCTGTCGTCAGATTCCCGGCGGAGACGGGTGAAATTCCGTGCCCTCCACTAACAATCACTTGCCGGTTGAATGGAACTGAATTGCGCTGAACAGCACTGAACTGACTGAGTTTGAGGGGTACTTTTAACAACACATTTCAAAACGACTGGGCGCACGGGCGCACCCGCAACCGCAACCAGGCGACAACCCGCCCGCGGGCGCAACTGCAACTCTAACGAAACGACGAATGTCTACCCTCCCGCGGACGCAACCGCAACCGCAACCGCAACCAAGCGAAACAACAACCGCAACCAGGCGACACATGTCAACCCACCCGCGGGCGCGGCCGCAACCGCAACCGCAATCAGGCGGCAAATTTCAATGCGCCCACGGGCGCAACCGTACCCGCAACCGCAACCAAGCGACACATTCAAACCCGCCCGCTGGCGCAACCGCAACTGCAACCAAACGACACATTTCAAGCCACCCGCGGGCGCACAACAAAATCGCAACCGCAACCAAGCGACACACTGGTGCAACCGCAACCAAGCGACACACTTCTCCCGCACATTGGAACAACCCCAACGGAAACCAGGCGATCCCTTTCGACCCGCCCGCGTCCGCAACAACAACAATCACAACAAACGAATTGCAACCGCACGACAAATTTCACCCCGCCCGCGGGCGCAACCGCAACCGCAACCAAGCGGCGCACTTCACCCGCCCATTGGAACAACCTCACCCGAAACCAGGCGATACATTTCGACCCGCCCGCGGCCGCAACAACAACAATCACAACAAACGAAATTGCAGCCGCACGACAAATTTCACCCCGCCCGCGGACGCAACCGCAACCGCAACCAAGCGACACACTTCAACCCTCCTGCGGGGGCAACAACAACCGCAACCAAGCGACACATTTCAAGCCACCCGCGGGCGCAAACGCAACCGCAACCAAGCGACACACTTCTCCCGCCCATTGGAACAACCCAACCCGAAACCAGGCGATACATTTCAACCCGTCCGCGGGCGCAACAACAACAACAAACGCAATTGCAACCGAACGACAAATTTCTATCTCCCCGCGGACGCAACCGCAACCGCAACCGCAACCGCAACCAAGCGACGCATTTCAACCCGCCCGCGGGTGCAACAACAACCGCAACCAGGCGACACATTTCAAGCCAACCGCAAGCGCAACCGCAGCCGCAACCAAGCGACACATTTCAACCCGCCAGCGGGCGCAGCAACCAACAACACTTACACTTCAGAAAACCCCAATCAGTGGATGATTTGAAAATTGATAATATGGATCTTGAGATCGATTGTGAGATCGATAATGAGATCGATAATGGAATCGATAGTGCGCACGATTGTAAGGTCGATCGTGAAACCGAGAGTGAAATCGATTCAATGAGATCGATAGTGAGGTGGATCGCGAGATCGCTCATGCGATCTCTAGTGAGATCGCTTGTGAGATTGATAATGAGATCGATGGTAAGATCGATGGCGAGATCGACCGAGAAGTCGGTAATGAGATCGATGGTGAGACCGATCGATAAGAAGATCGACCAAAAACCAGGGAATCCGGGAACCTCGCCGCCCAACGAAATCGGCCCGGAACCTGGAACGGGGAAATCTGGAACCGGGAACCTGGGAACCCGGGAACCCAGCGTGCGACCAAAATCGGCGGGGCACTTTCGCCAAATCATTCAACATCCGCGAAGACCCCTTCAATGCAAGCACTGATTGGGGAACAACAACAACCGAAATCACAACCGAGCGACAAATTTCACCCCGCCCGCGGACGCAACCGTCACCGCAACCAGGCGACACATTTCAACCCGCCCGCGGGCGAAACCGCAACCGCAACCAGGCGACGCATTCAAACCCGCCCGCGGGTGCAACCGCAACCGCAACCACAACCAAGCGACACATTTCAACCCGCCCGATGGCGCAGGCGCAACCGCAACCGAACGACGCATGCCAAACCGCCGGCGAGCGCATCCGCAACCGCAACCGCAACCGCAACCGCAACCCGTGCGACAGATGTCAACCCGCCCGAGGCTGCCAGCGCCCGAGGGGCAGGAGGTGCAGGAGCACAAGGAAGAGGAGGAGGTGGAGGTGGAGGAGGAGGAGGGAGAGGAGCACAAAAAAGAGGAGGAGGAGGAGGCGGAGGAGGAGGAGGAGGAGGAGGAGGAGGAGGAGGAGGAGGAGGAGGAGGAGGGGGGAGAGGAACAGGAGTAAGAGAGGGAGCGGGAGGAGGAGAATTGGCAGAACGGCCACGAGGAGGAGGATGACGACGACGACGATGAGGAGTGGGGTGCAAGGGTGGTCGTGTTTCAGGGCGTTGCAGGAGCAAGCGCCGGTGCAGGAAGAAACCCAATGGCACGATTAGAAGATGGAGGGCTTGGAAGATGAGGAGGAGGAGGAGGAAGAGGCCTGTAACCGCGGTACTCCGCCATGGCATTGC